TAATGGAAGCTAGGGGGCAGCACTGGCTGACTCATGCTCCCATGACCCACTATCAGGGGCTCTTATGTGAAAATCCTCGAGTACAACCAGAAGCAGTGAGAACTCTTAACACTGCCACATTTTTACCCATTGCTGAGGGAGCCAGAGCATGATTACCTAGAAGTCCTAGAGGAGGTTTACTCTAGCCAACCAGATCTAACGGACAGGACCCTACAGAACCTGGACCTAATATTGTTCATTGATGGCCGTAGCTCCTTAGATGAAGAAAAAAGATGAGCTGGATATGCATTGGTATCAAACTTTGAGATAATTGAGGCACAGGCCCTTCCTGAAGGATGGTCAGCATAGAGGGCAGAACTTTGGGCCCTTGCCAGAGCCCTAGAATTCAGTAAGGATAAGTGTGCCAACATCTACACTGATTCATGCATGCCTTCACTACCCTGCATATTCATGGGACTATATACAAGCAAAGGTGGCTCCTGACAGCTGGAGGAAAAAGAATAAAAAATCAGAATGAGATCTTAAAGTTACTAGAAGCAGTCTGGGAATCCAAGGAAATAGCCATCATCTATTTCAAAGGTCACCAGAAAAGGAAAGTCTCAGTGTGAGAAGGAAACCAATGTGCTGATGTCACAGCTAAGCTGGCTACTAAAGAACAAGTAGCACCAACATGCTTCGCAGGATCATGTTGGCCTGCGAATTACCTGAACCTCCAAAATACACTCCTCTGAAGGAGGAATGGGCCCAGCAAAGAGGGGGCAAGATAATGAAGGAAGGTTGGTGGATACTCTCAGATCATAGGGTCTATGCCCAGAACAGTTAGCCCACAAGGTAGTTAGTCCTCCAGCAACATGAACTTACTCATTTAGGAAAAACTGCCCTAGAAGCTTTGTTAGGCAGATACTACCTAATTGCCCATCTTCCCTCCTTGTGTGTTTCCATCTCTCAGCATTGCCTCCTCTGTGCACAAAACAATGCCAAAGAGGGTCCTGAAGGACTGATAGGAGTTCAGTGATGTGAGAAAGCTCTCTTTGAGGACTTAGAAGTAGATGTTACAGAAATAGGGCCTAGCAGAGGAAATAAATACCTGCTAGTCTTTATTTGTACCTTATCAGGATAGGTCTAGGCATATCCCACTCGCACGGAAAAAGCAAGAGAAGTCATTAAGCATTGCTGAAGGACATAATTCCGTGGTATGGAATGCCTCTGACCATAGGGTCTCATAATGGCCCAGACTTTATAGCAGAAATAGTACAACAGGTAGCCAAGACTTTAGGAATTAGATGGAACCTACATACAGCTTACAGGCCTCAGAGTTCAGGAAAAGTGGAACACAATAACTGGACTCTCAAGCAGGCTATGGCTAAGCTATGCCAAGAGACAACCTTATCTTGGACAGATACCTTGCCTTTTATGCTCCTGCGGATACACTGTGCCACGAGGGCCATGGTAGGTTTCTCTCCCTTTGAAATTCTATATGATAGACCCTGTTCCTTAATTCAGCCAAAGGGAGATTTGGGGAAAACAGAAAACTTAAAAATCCAGAAGGACTTGGAAAAACTGTCTTTGAGGTCCACAGATGGGTCACTGATCGGTTATCCATTTCTCTGGGAATAGTTGTACGTCCTTATAAACCTGAAGACCAGGTTTTGCTAAAAAACTGGAAAAAGCCAATTTGGGAGGGACCCTATCCAGTCATACTAACCACTTCCACAGCTCTCAATGTTGCAGAACTGAACACCTGGATCCACCACTCCCGAGTGAAAGCAGCCTACCAGCTGAGTGAGGCCCAGCTTGAGTGGAAGGTGACCCCAGATCTTGAGAATCCCCTCTGGCTGTGCCTCAGCAAGGAAACGAAGGCCTCATAATGAATTGCTGGACCACTCCTTGTCATGCCATCCTTGGCTACATTTGCTTTGCAGAAATAGTTATAATACAACCAAATGCACCTGGGTGCCAGAACAGAGACCATAAATTTCTTCATTGTTATTGTTATCATGTTAATTGTTGACTGTTAATATCCTGTACCCACCTAAATAAAACAAGTATGTGTCTCTCATTTTACTTTTTATCCAATTCCAGAGCCTCCCCACCCGCCACTTTGATTTCTCCCAATAGATTAGGGAATCTATCACCAATGAATTTCATGTAACCCACTTACGTCTTCTCCTTTGATGTAATGTATAAAAAAAGGTGAAAAACCACCATTCTCTGAGCATTATTTCAACCCAGTGAGATTTTGCTTCCAAGCAATTGTCCACAGTTTGGCTCAAATAAACTCACAAAAATTCTTTACAGGTTTGAATGTTTTTAAGATAACAACCTAAATAGGCACTTCTCGAAAGTGGACATACTGAAGGCCAAGAGACATATGAAAAAAAAATGCTCAAAGTCACTGAATTGAGATGCAATTCAAAACAATGAGGTACCACCTCACACCAGTCAGAATGGCTATCATCAACAAATCAACAAACAACAAGTGCTGGTGAGAATGTAGGGAAAAGGAAACCCTTGTCCACTGCTGGTGGGATTGTGAACTGGTGCAGCAAATGTGGAAAAAAAAATATGGAGTTTCCTCAAAAAATTAAAAATGGAACCCCCATTTGTCCCAGTAATCTTGCTTCTAGGAATATATCTCAAGAAATCAGAAACATCAATCAGGAAGAATATATGCACCCCTATGTTCATAGCAGTGCAATTTACAATAGCTAATATTTGGAAACAACCTACGTGGACATCAGCAGATAAGTGGATTAAAAAACAGTGGTCCATCTATACAATGGAACTATGTTGCTGTAAAAACAAAGAACTCTTACTATTTGCAAAAGCATGGATAGACCTGGAGAGCATTATGCTAAGTGAAATAAGCCAGTCAGAGAAAGAGAAATATCACATGATCTCACTCATTTATGGAATACAATGAACAACATAAACTGATGAACAAAAATAGATCCAGAGACATTGAAGCATGGAACAGACTCAAACTCAGAGGAAAGTCAGGGGAGCTTATGTGTGGTGGGGGAAGGCTTAGGAGTTCAACCAAAGAACTTATATGCATGTAAGCATAACCAAATGTGCACAGTTAATAGGGGATGAAGGCCTGGGCTGGATGGGGCAGGAAGCAGGCTGGGAGAGGACAATAGGGAAAAGGGGACATATTAATACTTTCAACAAAAATAATTTTAAAAATAAATAAAAATAAATGTAGATAAATTAAAACAAAAAAATGTGTGTCCTCTAGAAAGCCATTCAAAAGCACATGTTTAAAATAACACTATGTAGTTCTTTTTTCTACATATTTACATAACAATATATATTTATATCCACCAAAACAAATTTTAAAATCAATAATTTTACCTGATTACTCAAACCCACCTCCTGGTCTAACTTCCCAGTCTCCAAGGTTTTTTATAATTTGGTCTAAGGCTAGGTTTTTCTGGTTCATCTCTTGTTACAGAAATACTATACTTCTTGCCTATTCCCAGGATGATTTGTAATCTCTGTGCTTTTATGATTTTATTTGTTTTTGCCAAGAATGCTCTTAACCTCTTTCTGCTGCTCAACACCTACTCATGTTTCAAGTTTTCAATAAAACAAAACTTTTCCTCTGAAACCTTAATTTAAAAAAAAAAATTAAACATTCTTCTTCAGTAAAGGATCCATTATGTTCTTTGCATTATTTTATGGATACAATTTAATTGTATTTTTAAAGTATGCTTTTTTACTCCATTTAATGGGTTATGAATAGATTCAATATATTGGTACCCAGATTTAAAAACAACAACACAAGAAATAGAATAGAATGCAAAAATAACAGGTTCCATAACATATGGTAAGTGTAAGTATTATTTTGTAAAACTTCTGTTTTAATGATATACAAATGTATATGTTTACTGGACCACATTATAAAATATATATTTTTACTATGAGTTGCATTAAAAATAGTTTGACAAATATATTAGTATGTTAAATTATTTTTCATATGGCTATCTACACTAATAAAAGAGAAATATGCAAATTGACCATACCTTCACTATGCCACCAGCCAATCAGAGCAAGTATGCAAATTAACCTAACAAAGATTGTGGTTAATTTGCATATGAAGGCATGAAGCAAAGACTGAAGACAGCATAAAAGGAAGCCAAGCACTGTAGAAAGGAGTGAATCTGCAGAGAAGGGAGCAAGGCAGCGGAGATGAGAGGGAAACAAGGCAGTGGATAAGGGAGTGAAGCTTTGGCCACAGAAAGCCCTCTTCTTGCATGAATAGGCCCGAGGAAGCCCTATTCTTGCAGGAATCTTTCATGCAATGGGCCTCTGGTGTCCTCTAATAAAATGTAAACACCTTGAGAAGCTAAAGCATCATGTTCACTGCTGTATTCCCCCACAACAGAGTCTAGTGGAAGGCTTGAAACAGTGCTTTTAAAAAGTTGATGGTATTCATTAATCTAAGAATGTATATGCATATATGCATAATCCTTGGACACAGACAGTAGTATCATGAAGGCCTAGGGTGGAGTGGAAACTGAGTGAAAGGGGGAAATGGGGAGAAAATGGTGGGCATATGTAATGCTGTCAACAATAGGGATAAATTTTAAAAATTGAATGAGGCAAGTGAATACTAGTAAGTGATCCCAAGAAAACAGATACCACAATCTTCACAGTGGGGTTCAGGATCTGAAGAAGGGGCCAACACACAAATGAAAATGCTATACAAGAAATACTAATTTAGAAGGCATGGGGAGGGGCCAGGTGAAGGACACTTTCTTGAAGAGGCACCCCTTAGACTGGGTCCTGTCTACTTTTTATTCAGTTTTAGATACACATATTGCCCTCTAGAAATGCATACAGACATATCAAAGGCAAAGTTTGGTAAACAGTAAAAGGATTATCAGGTTAGGGAATTGCCTTGAGCCACCACTATCTCAACCATCAGTGCTTAGTGTCAGCCCTTTTAAGGCCCAAGAACCATCAGCCTTCTGATTCCTTGTTGCACCACAGTATTGGCAAGCAGTGGCTGCCCACATCTCCCCCTTTTTGTTTTCTTAATAAATCTTGAAAATTGTATTCCATCTGTAGGGCTGGAGTCCTTTTAAGACTCTTCATTCTGCATCTGCATACTAGAAATAAACATTTAAAAATAAGAATGAGGTAGACAATATTGGTTATGCTAAGAGGCAGATGTAGGGAGATCCCATGAAAAGGACTGAGTTCTTTTATGTCCTTTTTAAATTGCTGCCAGACATCTAAGGAACTTGGTAGTAGGCTCCTTTCTGGGGCATCAGTTCTTTATGGGTCTCCTTCTCAATCACTGTCCTCTGTGACATGACAGCAATGATATTTGAGTTCTGGATGGTGGACAAACTGGGCAATGACAATCAAGTCTGACCTTCTCTGGCTTTGACCAGGGCAAATTGTACCATCCCACAACTGATGACTGCTAGCATGGCAAGGAAAACATTCTCAGATGTTCTTGGGGTTCTTGTTTCCTCAAAAACTCTCAGCTTCCTGGACTATCCTCTTTACCATCCCCCAGATCATCTCCAGACTGTTTATCATCTGTCTCATTCTATTCCCATTCCTCATCTTCAGTATGTTGCTTGGGGCTATCTGTGGCTGGAAGTACTCAATTGCCTGCAGCCACAGGTACAGGGTGAGACTCAAGATACAAGGTCCTCATTAGTCTGTTCAGTTCCTCTCTTTGATCCATGTTGAAGTTTAATGATCCTTGCAGGAATCCACAGGGGCTAGGAGGAGTTTTCTGGAAATACACAAGCATATCCTTGACCAAAGGTTAACAAAGGATCAGGACCCATTCATAACCCAGACTGAGGATCTGTCCAACTAACTAAACAATTTTGATTTGGTTTATTCTGACACCAGTGTAATTCTATATGTGTCATGCCATCAGCATTCCAAGTGAAAAAAAAATTTTTTAAAGTAATTCAGGTTTGATGTAGTCTACCTACAGGAGATTTCTCCAACATCACTATTCCTCCTTTTTGTTTTTCAAATTGGGATTTTATCCACTGATGTTGGCATTCTATAATTGCCTGTGCTTGGGAATTGTATGATATTCCAATAATGTGTTGAATTTTTACAAAATTGCTGGAAATTTTTACAAAAGTTTGTGTATGTAGGTTTATTGTCAGTTCTAATAATTTTTGCAATTCCTATTATGGCAAAAGTAGTTAGGCAATGATTAATAACCTGTTTTGCCATTTACCATGTAGATGCAGTGGCCCATAGGACCTTTGAAAAGGTATTTACAGAGACATGCAATGCCCTAAGGCATCTGAAAGGAGTGTAATGTGTTACATTCATTTCTGAGATATGGTCCCTTATTAATCCTCAAGGATTAATTTCTGTAATAGACCTTTGAGGCAGATGTAACATATAAGTGGGGCATTCCTTGACAATTTGTTTTGCCTGCGCTAATAAAACAATTAACTTCTCTACATATGCATTTCCTTTTGTTAAAGGACCTGGCAGAGTGGTATGTGCCATAATATGAGTAATATAAAAAGGATATTGTCTTTGCTATACAATTTTCTGTACCCGTTTATATAGTATAAATAGATTTTGGCCAGTGAATCATTTTAATTGAGCAATCTCAATTTTGTTTACCAAGCCAGCAGCATAGGCAGAATTGAAATAATATTAAGAGACTCTTGGAAATTCTGTAGTTCAGCCTTGATAACTTCTAATTCAATCCTTTGTATAGAAGTGTGACTAGTCTCGATGACTCATTCTGAGTCCATTGTATGATAATTAGCTTTACCATTAGATGAGCCATCTGTAAAAACAATTAATGCTCCAGGAATAGGTTCCTGTCTAGTATTCTTTGGTATAATAATATGTAGGAGTATAATATAAAAATTGTAATAACTTGTTTTTTAGTAGGTGACAGTTAAGCTCCCCTGAATATCCACTTAGTTCAATTTGCCTATTCAAGTAAGTCTGAAATAACATTTCTAATTGCTTCCCAGTGAGGGGAAGATAGATGTATTGGAGTTATTCTCTAAGCTGCCTTCAGTGCTTTCTGAGTTGAGATATTAAATGAGACATGAATTCTATATGTGTAACCACAGTTTTAGAAGATTGATGCCCTAGGTGGACCCACTCAATAATAGTAGGAGAGTTTTTGTTTTGGAAAATGACTCCAGTGGGACTATTTTCAGTAGAATTAATCTGTCCTAATAAAGGCAATCCAAGCTTTACCTAGGCTACTTGGGCTGAGGAGATTGCCTGCTCAGTTCTTAGTAACTCCCAAACACAAGTAATTAAGGCTTGATGCAGCCTACTTACAGGAGGTGTAACATATAAGTGGGGCATTCCTTGACAATTTGTTTTGCCTGCTCTAATAAAACAATTAACTGATCTGCATATGCATTTCCTTTTGATAAAGGACCCAGCAGAGTGATATGTGCCTAATATGAGTAATATAAAAGGGATATTATCTTTGCTGTACAATTTGTTGTATATTTTTCTTGTGTCATTTTTGCCATCAATATAAAAAAAAAAAAGAGGCTGAATTAAATGTTTTTGCCTGTTCTATAGCATCCCTGAAGAGATGGAGGCCAATCCAAATCAGGTGGGGCACCTTCCTCATAAACTAATCTTTTCCCTTCCATGGACACATTTCCAATTTGTGAGAAATGGATTATTTCTTTACACTTAAAATGACAGACTAGGAAACAAAAACATGGCAAAATGAGACTTTTAATAACACTCCCTAGAGTGTGTGTCCATATTACAGAATCACCAAGAGACATAATAATTAATGGACTGGGGCCTTTTTTAGTTACCTCCTATGTCTAGGGAATTTTCCTAGTACCTGTGTTATCAGCCACATGTACTGCTCATATTCTTTCTCCTCATCCCCACATCCTGTTTGCTCTATGAAAATTTAGTAATGGCCTGGTCACCTACTGTTTCTTTTCTATGAAGATAAATTAAAGGCATATTTAATAGACTAACAATAAACAAATTAAACCAAACAAAAAGATAGATAAAACAACAATCAATGGACAAGTGCACATAACACATAGACAAGACTTAATAAATCAGAGTTCTTTTCATAGATCTTTCAGATGTTTTATATTGCCTGGGATGTACAGCCAGATGAGGTCCAGATATTAGTTATTGTTCACAGATATCATCACATTCTGCTCTCCATAGCACTGACTGGCATCTAAAGTTGTTTTTAGATAAAATCTTCCAGTCCCAAGGTGTCATATGATAATTTTCAGACAAAGCATTAAGGAGTCCTTTTGTAAATGTACTGTTATCCCCATTTTCTCTGGTTGATGAGGCTCCCCACACTAGAGGTGGAAGATTTGGGGCCTTAAGTGTTACAAACTTGATCCTCAATATGAAGTGGGCATAATGCAGTTCAAACATGAGCCCACATAGTTAAAGATGACAAGGGCACTCGTTTTCTTTGAGCCTAATTTAAGAGAGTACCTTTTGATACCTTAATTCCTTTATCCTTGAGCATGCAAGCTAAAAATTTACAATGATGTTTTTGCCTTTTACTCGAATTCTTCTCCATTATAACCTGCTGATTCCAAAAATGTTCTTATTTACTTATGGTTGTGACTCCGAAGCTGGCATGGGCTTTGTGCATGGTGAACTTCCCACCTTTCTGGTGAATTTCTACTTTTCCTTTTTCACTTCATTTTTTTCATCCAGGAGAATCTTCTCTTCCAGTTTCCTATTTGAGGCACCAGATGCAGCAACATTCACAGCCAGGTTCAGGATCTGAAGGAAGGGCCAATGCACAAATGAAAATGCTATACAAGAAATATGAATTTAGAAGGCATGGGGGTTAGGTGGGAGACCGTTTTCTTGAAAAGGCATCCCCAGACTGGGTCCAGTCTGCTTTTTATTCAGTTTTAGATACACATCTTGCCCTCTAACAACACATACAAGCATATCAAAGTTTGGTAAACAGTAAAAAAGATTACCATGTTAGGGAATTGCCTCAAGCCAATACTATCTCAACAATCAGTGGTTAGTGTCAGCCCTGCTAATGCCAAAAATCCATCGGCCTTTTGCATTCCTTGGTGCACTGGTAGTATTGGCAAGTGATGGATTCCCAAAACAGAAATACCAATCAGAAAGGATATATGCACCCGTATGTTCATAGCAGCACAATTTACAATAGCTAAGATTAGAAAACAGTCTCAGTGCCCATTAACAGATGAGTGGGTTATAAAACTGTGGTACATCTACACAATGGAATACTATGCTGCTGTAAAAAAGAAGAAATTCTTACCATTTACAGTAGCATGGGTGAAACTGGAAAGCATTATGCTAAGTAAAATAAGCCAGTCAGAGAAAGATAAATATTACATGATCTTACTAATTTGTGGAATATAATGAACAACATAAACTGATGAAAAAAATAGAACCTAGAACCAGAGTCATAAAAGCATTGAACATACTGTCCAGGTTATGAGGGACGGTAGGTAGTGAGGGGGTAAGAGATAAACCAAAGGACTTGTATGTATGCATATGAGCATAACCAATGGACACAGATAGTAGGGGGGTGAGGGCATGTGCTGGGGGGTGGGAGTGGCTAGGGAGAGGTCAATGGGGGAAAAAGAAGAGTCATGTAATATTTTAAACAATATAGAATTTAAATTAAAAAAAGAATATGACTGAGCAAAGTTAACAGAGATAGTACTACAACCAGGCCCCCTGACTTTTTAAATTAAATTTTCCTTATTAAAGACTGTAGCAAAATTGAGAGCCCTATCAGAGTGACACCAGTTATACTGCCTCAGCCAAACCCAACCTACATGAAACTGTGCTCAATGAATGGTGTCACTATCAGTCATTGCTCAAGCCAGATATCTTAGTCTTTCTTCGCTATATCTCTCTATTGATCTACTCACAAGTCCTTATGAGACACAATTGTTCACCAAATCATATAGAATGCATCTTAGCAATGGCTCTCAGACTTGACTTCTTTTGTTTACCAGGACTACTGTTTCAGCCTCCTACATGGCTCATCTCACCCTCAGTCTCTTTGCCACTTGTCCCCTGAGTGAACAGCATTAAAAAAAAAAAAGTTGTTTTTGTATTCACTTGCTTTAAATTTTCCATTGTTTTGCCAAGGTTGGCTCCATCCTAGTCTGTCAGCTTTTTTTCACCCCACCCCTTGTTTACACTTCCTGTCCTCTGGTCCTAGCTGGGTAGGGATGGGGGAAGTTTTGTGTTTTTTTTTTTTTTAAATAAAAAACAATGTCTCTGTCCCATTATCAGAGATTCTCACATAATTAGTCTAGAATGGGGTCTGGACAGCAATGTAGTTGAAAATCTCCTTAGATGGTTCTAATGTACACCCAGGTTTCAGAACCACCTGTCTATCTTTCAACTTATGACATTTCCCTGATGTGCCTTGACATTTCATGTCTCTATACTTTTGCATATATTGTTTCCTTTTTCTAGTAAATGACTTTTTACTACATGGTATTTAAGCCCCAAAGAAAAGTCACTAGAGTTCCCTTTTCTCCACATGGTAAGCGATTTGAAACTTTTTTTGAATTCCTCAGCAGCATTTTGTTCATTTCTCTGTTTTAGCAGTGATCACATGGTAACATTTAATTTATTCTCTTTCTTTCAAAAAAAAGTTCAGACTCACCACAATTTCTTGTCATGATTGGTTTACAAGCCTGCGTAAGGCATCAGTTGCTATTACAAGAACCTATTTTAAAATTTATTCAACTATATTTTACATTCAATATTATTTTATATTTATTTCAGGTGTACAGCATAGTGGTTAGACAAGCATATACTTTACAAAGTGATCCCTTGCTGTTT